AACACCGTGTTGTCACGGAGTTCGCTATACTTGAACTTGCATGAAAGTTTCCCTATACATCGTCGCTGTTGAAAATTATTTTAAGTTTGAATAAAAAATAAAATGAAATAGCTATGTACTTCGTATCGGAGCATTTGCATATACAAAAGATCAAAGTTCAATTTTTTACAGAAAACCTTTTCAAAGGCTTCTACGGTTGGCTATTGGTGCATATACGAATATACACGGTCGTTAAACTGGATAGATTTGCTGGTTTTTGAATAGATACAACATATACATACGTTTATACGTAACGACAAATGAACGTACTCGATAACGCGATATTTTCCGTTGCCTCTTGTATAAGGTGAAATTTTTTCGCTGAAGTAGTTCTTTTGAATCGATAAAAAAAAGATGCAGATAGACGTGAAAAAATCTTTGCTAAAACGAATATTCCGATCGGTCCTCCATGAGTCTTGGTCAGCAAAGACAAACGAGTGTTTGAACAGTCGTCAACCATCCTTTACCCCAGTTGGCGATGCGCCAAACACGCTCGGAGAAAGAAAGAGAGTGCCAAAAATATCCTCGGATAGGTACTTCGAATGTCGTTAACGAGCAATTATTTCCCTTTTCTCCCGTTGAAATCAACGTGTTCACAATGGGAATGTCACGAACTTCCATCCAAACGCATTTTCTTTTTCACCGATCTCTCACCTGATTGAAATCCTTCGGATCAATCTGTAATATCTGTGAAAAATTTATTCTTTTAAATGTTCGGCATGCGCGCTCTCCATTAAAAATCTTTTATTTTTTATTTTTAATAAAACTTCGATACCTATTTCACGTTAAGTATGATCCTCGAATTACATGAATTTTCTAGTAAATTTAAGTTAAAATTAAAGTAAAAAAGTAATATTTTAATTAACTGCTTTCTTCGTTGCACCAAGTATCAAGTTAAATGGGCATGCCATTATAATTGAAAAGATTGTTAATTTATAATTTTTCCAAGTTGATATAATAACTGTCCTAAATCTGTAAAGTCAGACTTCATTTACGTAATACCACGATATTTTTTCGGACCAAGTCGAATGACAGATACTATTACGTCGTTAAGTGTTTCGGTCTTAACGATGCTATTATTTCTACTAATTATTTCACGAAGAAGCGAACACAGACTGTTTGCGTTTTCTGGCGAGAAATCGAGTTTGTAGAGAAACTGTAGTATTTGATGGAACACCAAGATCGAGCGTAATAGCATAATTCTAGGGTCGTCGTATCCTCTTGAAGCGACGAAGCATCGCACTATAACGACACGATCGCCTCGCAAGTGTGGTAAACAAGCAAGTGCCCGATGCTTGATCGGTACTCTAAGTTATTTGAACTAACGCAAACATAGTTTGGCGCGTGATCGAGCAGATCGAATTTATCTCGAAGATGGATTTTCATTACGGAAAACATGGAATGGGAAATATCCTGGTAATATTGTACAAATTGAAAAACTACCTACTTACACTACCTGCTTTTATTCCTTTTACCGTGGAGTTTTATACAAATTCTCACCACTGTGTGTCGTGTTAAGCGCAAAACGAGGTATATTCCCTTTTTCTGAATGTGAGTTTGTAGAATCATTTTATTCGAAAAAGCTGTATTAAACACACTGAAACGAACGGGTTAAAATTAAAAACGTAAGAAACTTTGTTTTTATGCTGAACGTTTCGTACTCGCAGCTGTTTTAAATATTACTTATTTTTTCTGTATATCATATGCATATTATACGGATCTAATTTTTATACCTATATTATATGTATCTACACTTTAAAATTTTCCACGAGTGTATGAACATCCACGGCTCCAACTTATGGTTCACAAGTGCCAGAATGAAAATGGAGTTTCCTGTTTTAATACGTTAAGTAGTTTTAATCGTCTTAGAGCTAGGGACTGTGTGTTACCGTAAAATTAATTCTTACGCAGATGCTAGTACAATATTACGCAAGTGTTGCGATGTATGGAAGAGTGGGGCACGTTTTAAGACTTGGAAATAACGGCTTATGCAAATACGTGTATGTAATATGTACACTATCTGGTCGAAAGTAAATGTCGCCGATTTAAACCCCTCAATTAAATCAAACTGCACCGCCGAGGATTAGTTAGATAGATAGAAATGCAATTTCGTCAGCATCTCGAAAGAGGGAAAAGATGCGATTCCATTACTTTCCTAGGACGTAACTTTCCTGTAATTCTCTTACGAAGATGATGACGACGATTCGTAGCTCCTTTCTCGTAATTAGTTTTCCTTGGCTCGTAGGCCCGAAGTTTCTATCAGTATATCGGCGGGCTTCTAATTTCGTATCCATTGCACGAATCTTTTCCCAAGAAATGCCTCTAGGGAGCCTAAGCGATTGATCTTAAATGCGAAACTCGTTCCAGAAGATTGCAGGATGCTATTGTTCAAATATGCGATCGTGCGTCAAATTCAGCGTACGCGGCTCTTTTCACCACGCTAATCGTCCACGTGTTTTTGAATAACAGCAACCGTAAACGCGTAGCTTTTAATCCTTATTGGTCTACCACTCTGTCGCAAGCGACTCGTAAGCACTCGTTTGTTTTATCGAAAGTCGGAAGTTAAAGAGAAGGGATCGCGTCAAGCCACTGACTACACGTTCAGTTTAGATTACTTTTCTCTTAGACCCAAGAACTTTATCTTTGTACGACAAAGGGAGAGGTCGAAGATAATCAAGTTGGTGTCTCAGGGGAAGCTACGGAATAGCCAATGTTACGAAAGATGATCTCGTTCGATTCCTTCTTTCTACTATTTTGCGAATTGCTGTCAAACTGTGCGCACTCTCACGTGACGGTTATCACGATGAAAGTTTACAAGGGCTCCAATACACCAGAGACAATTCGGTTTCGCGCGTCATTAACATTGCTAGGCATAATATCGATATACGAATTAACGACGACAACGTCAATAGGCGCGGCAAGTATGTGCCGAGAGACTCTTCTGTATTAATTTGCAGCTTGATCGAGCGTTTGGTAAATAGCGACACGTGCCGATAGTCTGAACTTATTAAACACCGTGTCGGAAAGCGGAAGCGATAAGACAAAGGCAAACACGTTGTAACCTATGAAACTTTATATAACCAGATATAGTTCGAGATTGTTTTAAATTTCAAATTCTTTCTTCAAACGAAACGTCTCGATGAAAGATAGATATGTGTATATATATACATGTCTGATCGAATGACAGTACACAGGTAATCGATCACGCGTTGCGTTCCTTTTCGCAAACCACCAGACCCGCTCAAGACTTTTTATATTGACAAATCGTTTCGTTCTAATCCAACGACGCGTAAACGAGGGTCGTCTTGGAGCGTTAGGATTGAGCCTAATCGAATGATACGATGTTACGTTCGTTCCTCTGCACCCCTAAAAAGCTTATGTGTATGTGCTTCTGTTACGTGGTTGGAATTCTATTATATAATATTTTCCTGCAGCTATGCTCGGGTCAATCCATCTTGTCCGAGACATATCTTCATACTTTTAATATAGATATTTTCTATATACACTACCATGCGTCGGTATTTGGACTACGTGATATCATAAACGTGGATCTAAGATATGTTTCGTATGAAACTTTATAATCAGATTTTTATCTTTTATTTTGCTTACAGAATTATATACAGTTAATTAATGCTCGTGATTCGTGACTTGTAAAATTCCGCTAATGATATTAATTCGATTGCGTGCGAGATACGGATGAATAAGTAAACTGCGTTAAGTTACATCTCTCTGAAATTTCATAATCTTTTTTGTGAAATGGCATAATCGCGTAACTTGTGATTTCTGAAATTTACTTTTCAATTAAACTCGTTACGTGTATCAAGAAGCAAACACGTCTATTAACACTGACAACTTGCATAACTCGTGTACGAGTGATTGAAGCTTTTCAATTCGTCTATTTTCTAAATAATTGAATAAGCTGATTTGATCAGATGATTTTGTTGAATATACTTACGGGTTCCATCGAAACGAGTGGCGATAGTATCTAAGAAAGTATTTTGTGGGGCGAGGAGGCCCTTCCTGACCGGCATTGGGGCCGCCCCGCCGCGCTGTCAGGCGCTCGAATCTGCAAAATAGGGAAGAGAATTTTGTTTCAGTCCAAGTCATGCGATATTCTTGCACCAATTATGCGCTCGACATGTATGCACACACTTATACATACGTAAAATGTAAATGCGCATATTCGGATATAAAGCTTGAGATCGTTTGTGCTTTATGCATAAGCGTGCCTAAAGCTTAGGAATATATGCATGAGGAAAAAAGGTCTGAGTCTTCGATAGGTAGGTCAGTGGTCCAATGAAAATAAAGGATTGCGTGTAGTGCGGTAGTTGCAGTGATAGATGATTGCGGTTTAAGCAAACTAGAATGAAGTTATTTTTAGACAAGAGTTTTAATTTAACACGTTCCGAAAGCGGCCACACAGCTTGTACAGAATATGTACTTCGATCTTTTTCTTATTCTATTTTTACACGTCGATCTTTGCGATTCTCTGTGGTTCTTTTCAGCGTGACTTTAATCTTTTCTTTCGTTTCAGATATATACGCGCAAATTATGTTTTTGAAAGCCGTGAAATAGTCGTATATTTTTTGACAGGAAATTCCACACACGTTCCTCGTTCGTGTAATTTTATGAGTAGACGCAGAAATGCATTTGCAGCAACAGGGATCTCGTTGAAAAGCGTGGAAGTCGGTGATATTCATAGCTTTTCATTATTGGACAGTTCTATTGTTACTCACGTTCTTCAATGGTATTTGTGATTTCTGGAATTAATCCAACTGAAGTTGTACTTTTCTTTCATTCGAATTATCCATGGATACGGGTCGTTAATTTATAATTATAGTAATGTAGTTTACGGGGAATCTCGTATTTACATTATCGCGATACCATGTCACCGTATCATAACATTGTATCTTAAACGCGCCTACCATCGAAACATATTCTACATACTGAGTTAAAATTTGGTTACATGTTCGATATAACTCTTCGATTATTTCTGAGAACGCTGGAAATAATGTTCATTCCATTCAACGAGGATAAATCAAAAGGAGAGGGGATGTCAATTTTTAATGGTGAATTATTTATTTGTAAATAAACAATAATGTGATTCGCGAATGAAGAATTAAAATGAAACACGATATATATATATATATATGAATTATATTAAAAACGCATAGCAAACCAATTAAGCATTAATGCTCGTTTCTGCGCTTTTTGTCATTATTCAGCGTGGAAACATTCATTTTGACTTGCTTGCCAGCAAGTGCAATTAACCTACGGCTTTGTATAAAATAACCCGTCCAAAGATTAACGTGCGATTTAATTTATTTGCTTCTTTTTGCGAGAAAATTAAAATAAAAGATGGAACGCTAGCATTTCATTTATTCGCAAAACAGGTGTGATTGATTTATAAAGCAAATCTATATATCCGTATAGCGATTCGGGCAATGTAACAGGTGTGAGAAGAGGATGCGGTATAGGATATATTCATTACGTGTTTATCCTCTTGTGCAAAATAGACTTATTTGCCAAACGACTCTGTTCAGTCGCTCACTTCATTACAAAAAAATTGAGCGTAATGTTTTAAAAGAATTGATTCGAAACATTCTAAAAAATATCTACTTTCTAAGGATTCTTTGTTCAAAGATCACCGTTTACATCGGTTACGACACGTATCTACCGATTGCTACCTAATAGATCGAACAACACTGCCATCGTTTCAACATTTTCAAGCTACTAGGTACAGTTTTACGAAGCTCATTTTAGTCTTTAGACACAAAACACGATCTTATAGAATTATGATAAAGGAATCTAGGGTAAGCAGTGATTCGTTTAAAATGACGTTTATGTATGCGGAAAAGATTGCATCTTGTTGTTCAATTTGCATGCAAATAGTCGAGTATTGAAATTAGCAAGTAGAATCAGTGACAGATACAGACCTTATCGAGAAAAAAGTTCTACCTCAGTGGCAGAACATATTAGGCATTGTATCGTAAACACTACACCTATTTTTGTATCCTCTGCTTTAGGTGTCCCACTAATGTGCACTGAACACGTTCCAGGAGAATCACGTATTCGTCCCGTTACGACTGATTCGAGGCTTTATCGCGACATTACAGAAGAAATCGGGAAACACGCGGAACGTTTGCTGGTACTCGCATAACTGACCGAGCCGAGGGGAGAAATTCTCTCTATCCTGATGGCCCGGGCTCCTGGCTGACTTGCGCTCCGCGCACCTAAGCGCAACATGTGGTAAACCGTTGAAGGTATACACCCATACACTTATTCCACTCTGTACATGCAAGCAGGTTCGTACGTGTACTCTGATAAGTACACTAATGCGAAACTGTGTAACCTGCACACGCACGCGCGTTGATCGTTTCCAAACGCGTGTGTACCACGAGCCATAAAACAGGGTCAAGATTTCAACCGAGGATCAAACATGTTGGTTGCACAGTCTTTGATGATTATCTCAGGCAGCATGATTGATGGCTCGTGTCCTGTTCGAGAAAACAATCGAACGATCGTCGATGTAAATACGAGCTTTTTGATCACGTTCGAAACCTCAAATACATCTTACTTAGTGGTATGATTTATCGGCTACGATGTATTGAATAAGAAATTAAGAAGCCTCGCGCGTTCTTTGAGCCATTTTAGGATCGTACTTTCCTATCGGTAGAATCGTCATTGCGCGATCTCTCGTTTCAATATTATGTTAAGGATTTTCTTAGAAGTCCTTTCTTTGGTGGAAACGAAAGTGAGGCGTAGAAACTCGAAGATCGTAACGGTTAAACGATAGAAATACGGCCTGGAATTTTTCTTCGTGATACGTTAAAAGATTAAAGGATCTCGTCGAGGTAAAATTAGATTAATTCTTGAATGTAACTTATGGAATGAAATTGCGGAAATCTAATATTTTATACCTAACTTCGACGCGAAACGCAATGTGTAAAAACATTTGACCTCTTCATATGCGAAGAAACTAATTAAACTGTTATTATGTTTTGTAGAGCAGACAGGATAAAAAAATAGTGTCATCGCGTAGTATTAGTTTCTTGAATAGAAGTAAACTTTTGTAAAAGATTATTGTAGGAATTAACCTAATACTGTTTTATAGAAAAAACGAATTATTGAAAAGAAAAAGATGCTCGAAAGATTCCCAACGACTTTGAAAACGTCCCGTTTATTTCAGCGAATTTTTCTTCTCGTTATGTGAACGTGCTTTGCTTAGAATTATCTTAAATAACTTAGAATGTCTCGTGTCTTCGTTTAGGATTTGCAAGGAAGCAAGATTTTTATTTTGTTAGCTTTCGTTTTAAGAAGACGCAACAAATCAACGCGCTGATAGCATTAAATATCATATACATAATATCCTAAACGTTATGAAAATGGTAATATCGTAGCATGTATGATACCCGCCTCTAGTGAGTAGGATATTCTATAGTCACATATGCATATTGCTCCTATAAAGGTATTCATTGTTCCTTTAAAGCCCATGTTAGATAGACTATATATGAATTTGCTTCTTATCACGATATCGTGAATTCTCCAACGATTTTCCGTCGACAGAGAAATTTAAATTTACTTCGATAGCGTCGGTACGAAGATTTTGTCGTTTATCGGCTAATCGCAACACGATGTACAATTCTAAATGCATAAATAGGAACAGAACTATCTATTCGCAATTATAGCGGACACTTAAAGAACACATAATTTTCAGGCTGAAACGTATAAACGAAAATAAATAATTTCAGTTAAATTATCAGAAGAACTTGTACTTATTATTGTACCTATTTATGCCGCCATTATATTATATATCCGTGTTTATTTAGATCAAAGTTATTTCTTTTCCAATCAACCTGTTTCCACGGAATATATGCGAGTAGAAAGTACCGTAATAAATGAAACGCGATCATAGATCGGGAACTCAGAAAATTACCATCGTTGTGATTTCATGCACCGTTTCATCGACTTTTCCCTCAACACGATATATGTATTTGTGGTGATTGTACGCATGAGTATATATTGAATGAAACGTTAACTTAGGTCAGTTTCGTAGTATTGTATAATATGGCCGCACCGAAGAGGGTCGATGACTGTATTTGCGTGTTAGTCCATCGTGAACAGAGCATGCAATCTGTAGGCGTCTCTGATATAGATCGTTGTAAAAAGAAAATCCCCTTCGACTGTTTAATTCTATAGTCTATGGGTTTAGCGAAACATGGACAGTAGAACCGGTATGTGACATAGCAGACCCGGCAGGAGTCAGGAGATTCAGACCAATGAAGAATCAATGGTGTCTTATTAGAGTATCGTCTTCGTATCATTTTCATTTTTATATTAATTTCCGTTACTTGTACGTATACATTTTGTCAAGCGTCTGTAATAAAATTTTCCCGTTCGTTTGTCATCTTTGCAAGTTAAATATTCTTTGCTCGAACGAAAAAGAGTTTCTTCAAACGTGATGTACGTAAAAGGCAAATCCGACATGTCGGCCTATTTTCAGGCACGAATTCAGCAGCGACGTCAATGCACTTGCGAGAGTAGCGCTTGGAGGTAACATATCAGCTTGCAATCAGTTGGTAATCCCCCATTTCATAGAAAAAATTTCAATACGTCAATTCCTTCGATATTTTCGCGAAAATCTATTTCGATCTCTTCTCGAATTTTTTTCTCAGCTTTCTTCTTAAGTGGATTTCACCTACTTTATAGAACCCCACTTCGTCTGCCACAATGGTGTTCGATACATTTTCTATAATAATCCAAGTAGGGTTCCCTTAGCCAGAAGGTCTCTATAAGGTGCGCGAGACTAAAATCTTTCACGAAGTGGAAAATATATTTATTTTTCTATCGTACACGCTACAACGGATACGAACGTGGAATTTCAAACACGAATTTACAATTGTTCACCATGTCGAAAGAAATATCAACTCATGATACAAGCGAATGAATGTTTTCTGCTTATATAAGATGGGAACGTAACGCCGAATAATGTGTAGCAAAAAACGCGATATTGATAGGCCGAAGAAAAAATAATCTATAAAAAAATGCCTGTGTAGCACGAAAATTGTCAGTGTCAGTGGGTTATCCGGGCAGCACGGCGTATAGACGGCGCGTGGTCACGAAGCAGGGTCCATATAATCGATACTCCACTACTTCGAATACCTGACTCCGTAGGGAGGGATGGAGAAAAGGAGACGGATTGAGATAAAAAAGAGGCAAGGAGGTTCTAAGGATACTTACCATTCTTTTTCCTCCCGGTTTACCGAAGGATCTTCCTTGCTTCCCCAAGGAATGTTCGAAACAACAAAAAGTCGTACGAACAATTTCACCATGAACGATGGTAAAATTAACGAGTCCATTTTCCGTCGTCTTACCTCCCGTTCTATTCAACCCTTACTTTTCTTTTACCTTTGAACGAGAAACTAACATATTCCTGCACCGTAGTTTTTTCGCAGCGAGAAAAGACTTGCGCGAAGAATTGTGCTCAGAATAAATGTATATTATATAAATGTATACGCTATAATAAAAGTACATGCTCAAAACGTTTATTTTAGTTTAAGCACGGAATGTATGGCAGCTTTCTGGATGCGCTTTTGGGTCGCAGGGAAGTTATTCCGAGGTTAGCCGACCTCTTGAAAGCTCAAAGGAGTTATTACATCTTTGTACAAACAACGCGATCGTTGCAGACAGAAATTTCCTATTACTTAAACGTCTGAGACATTAGAAATTTTTAATAAGTCTTTGAAGCCGATAGCTCCGATACTATTATATTGAATTCGATTGTGATTCTACCACCCACGCTGGGGGATTATGTTATAAATATCTATCAATAAGTTCTTTGGTTCCACGTGATCCTGGTGTGCGAATATCTGTACCGGTGAACGAGGTTGCTAAAATCTCCGCTGTGGCAAATAACTCGCTGACGTTTAACATCTGTAATTCTCTTTTAGATACCGGTCGGCCTGGTCTGTGTTTTCCAGTGGTGCCAGGTGCGATGGCCGGACGGTATAACGACGTAACGGCTGCCGCATTGCCGATGTCGTGTCTACAGTAACTACGGTACATGGGGTACGTGTACCCTCGTGTACCTACGCCAACCTCTGACTCTCTCTAGAGGTGGACGACTTATCGACCTGGTGCTAGTCAGGCCTACCACCTTTATCTCGTCAGCAGGTTCAATCACGAAATTTATTACACGATTTGATCGCGTGAGTTTTATCAAACTTAAATCAATTTGAAATCGAGCTGACCGAGGAAACGCGAAACAGAACGATCCTCCGCGATAATGGTTAATTTTTATTTCATTCGTTGCAGATCGTACCTACAATATTTTCGTAACCGAATCCTTTTAATTATATCATAACGTATGCTATCGATGCTAAGATGAAACGGAGAGAAGATAAAAAAATCTTGGAGATGTCGACAGATTTGCGATATGTGTTCTACTCTTTAGCTCTCATTCCCAAGAGAGGGTAGTACCTTCGTAGTGTTTGACGAGAGGCCCTTGTCCTTCTAGGTCGTCTCTTAGAGTGTTTGCGAATTAGGCCGCGACCCCGTCTCCGTCGTCGCGAACCACGATGGTTCTGTGGTAGTGGTCGCAGAGGGGGCTGTGCCGCGAAATTAGAACGTTGCATTCGTGAGGGTCGTCGCTGTCTCGCTGCCGTGGCGGGGCATCAATAGGAATAATACGAGGAACTATGCGATGTAGCTCGCACATAGGTAGACGCGAGTGTAACGACCTTACACCCCCGCAGGTAGCGGGATCGATGGGCTTCAACTGCGAGCAACCTCACATCCGCAGCTCCTACCGCGGGCCAACTTCCTCCACCGTGTTGGCTGTCCCACTTTTCTGTCGCATTTTACTACTACGATGTAACGTTGTTTCGCACCTTACGGCCACTGCTTGTCGACGATAAGCGAACTTGTACTGTTTCGAATAGAAACGGTTCTGCCGCGACAAACAATGCCTAGCAACGAGGCAAGGATTCTCAAACACAGAAAATCATCGGACGTTTCATTAAAATTTGAAAATTCACTGTTGGAAATAACTTGGTATATAAATAGGGTGAATAAAATCAACTAGTTATTTGTTTAAAATATATTGTAAACGTTTCTCATAATGATAGTACGGTCTGAGAATTTTGGAATCAAATTTCATAAAAACGATGAATTAAAGTCGATCGTATCGTGAAGTTTTATTCCCATTTCTCTGTTGAGTAGAATATGCTAGTATTGTGTTACGTGCATGCTGATATGGCAAACGCTTCACTAAGAAAGCAAGTGCATTATTTACTCCGACAATGGAGTTACATGTTGTAATCGTGACGTAGATTATATCGTGATTGTTGCAAAGGTGTACTCGTTACGTTCCATTCCATTTTATAAAATAGATTTCCTCCCAAAAAATTTTAAAAAACATGATCCTTCTACTTCTTCTATACGAAATAGTTAAAATTCAAAATAGATCGCGCGAGAAACATTCAAAAGATTCTTATTTTCACATTATATTTTATAAATATAGAAGATAAAATATTATATAGAGTAAGGTCGATGTTTTTGAACTATCGAACGAAAAAATTCTATCTAGGATTGTTTCTTTGAGAACCTTCTACATTAGTACGAATATACAATTTTACCAAATTATCACATAATTCTAAGTAGATTCCATATTTTTATCTAATTCCTCGAAGACGGTCAATAAACCATCTTAATTCGCTTTAAAAGCTTTCAAAGTTTTTAAATTCGCTTTAAAAAGATTATCACATACACATTACAAAACGCCTCCGTTGGTGAACTAACAAAATCTACATATCAAGGTCGAATATCAAGTCGTTCTTGAATTGTGCTTTAACCTCGTCCTTGGCAGTGTCATCCGAGTTGTTCGAACGAATTTCATTCATTTCTTCTTTGATACTCGTTACAGTCTCAGAGACTTCTGTATTTTTTTGATTTCCTTTGTACTTATCACGGTCCTCCGTTTCGGAAGCTTCGCTTTCGCTCATTTTACGTTCATAGGCACGCCTTTTATTTCGTAATTTACGTTGGTTCTTTTTACGTTGGCCAAGAATACTGGAATTCGATCTAAAAAATTAAACAAGTTGATCGATATGTATGATTATTAAAAAAGAAAGTATCGATACAATCGCCATTGTGATAGTACCTGAATAGTTGTCGCGATACTACGTCGTTGAATCGTACTGTCTTTTTTAAGCTGGAACAATCTAATTCAGAATTTAGATCCGGTATCGAATCGTAATGACAATCTATAGACGATGCAGCCGTTCCAATTTCATCGGCACTCGATTCGGATACTGAACGCGAAAGATTATGATTGCGTTGCGATCTTAATATACTTTTTGGGAATGTACCTGTTATATTATTACTTATCAACTCATCTCCGCTGCTCTCTGAAACAGATCTAGTCTTTGTTACAGTATGACAAAGATTTGGTCGTTCTTCCATCGATGTTGTACTGTGTCCTTCAGCTTCATCGTCCGTATCTAAATGGTTTGGGCTAATATTTATAACGAAGCTACTATCCTCTGTTTGTACCTCGATTCCTTGATTCGCCTCGTCATCGTTTTTAGTCTGTAAAGCACGAGTCGATGAGTACAAGATAATCTTTCGCTTTAATTTTTATAGATATTTAAAATACTTACCGTTAATTTTTCTAGTTGATTCTTGAAAGACGCAACGTTAGAAAAATGTTTCTGTTCCATGAACTCTTCGTCTATACCAACGTAGTACTGTTCTAAATTTTCCATATCTTTTAACATAATAGTAAATACAACATTGTTATCCCACGGTTCGACCGTGACCGAATCGGGATTTACAGAATTCTCGGTTATTTTTAAACATAACGAATAGTGCTGTGGAAAAAATCCTGTACCTACAGATGTTAGTAAAGCGTGTATCCCTAAATTATTTTGTAAAATTCTATAGCGAATAGAATCTGGATTGACATTTTTTAGATTCACAGTAATCGTTAATTGATTCTTACATAAATTACAAGTAAATGTTGGCAGTGAATACTTAATGCTAGGATCTAAAAATGTGCTTATATTTTTTTTGCTAGTCCGTAATGTCGTATCACTAGAATCTTCTACATTTTCGCTCTCATATTCCGTTTTTGTAGTTGCAAGCACTGTTTCACATTCTTCAACTAATTTTGGTGTACAGTTACTCTCGTGACTCTGACTAAAAGAATCTTCCATGGAATCTTCTAGTAGTAGCGGCACAGTATTACCAAAGTTACAAGGATCACTATTTACTCCACTGTCCTCTTTGGTATTAGATACCGATACCACTGGTTGTATAACTGGTAGCGTAACAACAAGCTTCTTGTGTTTCGCATCAAACTTAGCATTACCCCTGTCTGCATCCACGCGATAAGGTAGAGGAAGCTCCAATAAATATTTTGCAGGTTTTATGCTCTTTATGCTGAGATAACGTTCTTGTACATCTAGAGAAGCATCGGTGGCAGTTTTTAGTAGGGGTAGATCTATAGTGATGATTAATCGCTTAGGTACCGTAGCATTCATTTTTGCATTTCTGTTCGTGCTAAAATCTTCCAGCTCTACGTCGGATTGGTGTTTTATAGAAAATTTTGGTGTCGTAAATTTGTTATCCGTGTCTGTACTTTTATTTGCTTTCTTGTTATAATATTTGGTAGAAGGTGACCGCTTTGGCACTTTCTCCATACGCTTGGGTCTTGGTTGTCTGCTCTTGTCGTAACTGGCCATTAGCTTCTGATAGATTTCTGGTTCTATGTCCAATTCCTCTTCAGGCTGACTCTTGGATGGTTTTCTGATCACAGTTGGATGACATATCCCTTTGTATCTTATTTGTGGAAACTTTATATTTTTCCTATCCAATTTGACCTAACACGTTCAGTAAAAATCAAATGATAAGGACGAACAGATAAGTAACTTTGTATAATGATCTAAGAAAATAGTGGTACTTACATTAAAATTATTTTCGACACCGTCTATAGCCGTGCTGTTAACGATTTTGCGAAGTTCTGCGTGTTTCGTCGATAGGAAAATGGTATCAGGATGAAATATCACATCGAAGACTTTGCAACGTACATTTTTTTTGTCAAGGTCATCACGAGGTGGTGTTAACAAGTAAGGAATAGACCATTGTTGTCCATGATGACCTTGTTCGAAGGAAGGTTGACTGCTCGGCGGATCTGTAAGTTCGCTCGTGCAAATATTTAGAAAACATTTTTTGTCTCCGTTTATGCTGGTTTTTATGACGTAACTAGGCTGTGGGGCGACGAATGTAACGTCGACGCCCCGTTTCTTCTCTAACAACGTAATTTCTTTTTGATAGACCTCCATATTTTTCGGATCAGTCACCTCTTCCACGTATTCGATCAACATCTTGCGGAACTCCTCCTTTTTCAAGCACTCGGTCAAATTTTTCAGCTCTTCTTTGGTCACGTCTAAATCCTCCCAATTTTTCCTATGTATGTCGTAAGCGTCCATCTTTCAGCCCAATAGTGTTTACAAATAAAGTCGCAGTAGAATGATCGCGAACCGCTGTACCACGTGGACGGTTGCGCCACTACGCCGGCCGGTTGAATAGCGGTCAAACACGGAACTTCGAAACGTCTAATGGCGCTCGCGCCACTTTTTTCTAGTATTCTCTACTTTAGCGCTATGTATCTCTGTCCTTTTTATATTTACCGTTAAAACAAAACCTTTTTTCTGACCTCTGACAAGACACTTTACCTTTTTTCACTGGGAGAGGCAGTATCACGTTGGAATATCGTATGAATCTGTTTAATTTTAACGTTTCCAATTTTCAGTCGAACATCCTCTTTTGCTGCTTAAGCAAATGCCGGCGTATCGAACAAACATTAACGGCGTTACGAAGGTCGATAGAAGCATCGAATAGCAAAGAAGTAAAATCATCATTTAGCATGAAAGAGTTGCGCTGCCTTTCACCGTTTTTGCTATCCCACTTTATGAATATGTATGTCGATGGATGCACTACAAAATTTGTAACAGAAACGAAGGATCCAACCTAGTTGAACAGGAATAGACCTATATTCTAAATGTCGTATGGAAATGATTTGTTATTTCGCACTTCCCGAGAATTGAAAGGTACAAAAGTTTAATGCATATAAGAACCAAAAATGTATAATATAGCCAATGTAAAGTACTTTCTATAATACTTAGCGGATGAAACGAATTTTTATTTAGCTCGCAGTTCCTTCGTTATGCCCATAAGGATATCAAAATGCATAAATAAACACCTGTACTCTGGTCTATTCTGTTGATATCTCGAGTAGGTTAAACCTGTCAGATGTTTAGTTGGAAACAGCGGTTTATGCATGCAGTGAACGCGATAAATGCATCTGGAAAAGCTAAGTTTCGCTTTTCGTGAGATCCACTATTGGTGGGAGTTTAGGTGAAGATGTGGGGATCAAGCAGTACGAAGTCTCTGACCCACTGACATTCTCTTTAGTTACTTGGTAGAAACAAACGCTGATAATTCGTGACTCAGACTTTCGATGTTCGTGATCAGGATTATTAACAAAATAGTATCTGAAGAAGAAAGATAGCCGTCATCTTGAAGGATCACAACCAGTCGAGTCTCGTTTTGAGATGCGGCGAAATCGTGGCTTGCTAACTAGTGTTGCTGTTTGCTTGACAGTTTTCTTCATTGTTTTAAATTCGAAATCAACAGTGGAAACTGTAAACGATACAGGAAGTAGCATAGAAAAGCCTTACGCTGGAGAACAGGAAGTCCATAAAGGTCAGGTAAATTGTATCCAATTAAACGATTCAGACGAAGGCAAACTAGATATTTCAAAGTATGTATACGGTGAAATCTTTCATTTTCTATGAAATATTTTCGACTTTTCATACAATTTGATATGGTACTGTTTGAGAATTGTTTTTTTTCAATAGGATACTGGTCGCGTTTAGATTGTAGTGCAGTGAAAGTGCGTCTGTGAACGATGTAATTATTGGAAAGCGATCTTTCCCTTTTACGATTTACAAACGAGTTTATTGCGTATGATAGAGAATTGGAGAGTTTCCTGATTACGTATAATACTTTACACATTTTGTTGATTTTATTAATGGACTAGAGATTTTTATACGTTCACGGGAAAAGATGGAAAAATGCATAAAAATTAAGTAAAACAAATCATTGTCTAGCTTCTACTCTTTTAGCCGTCTTCATGTAAACTTGAATTTACATGTATAAATTCATCGCAATCTGCCAGTTTATTTATTAATTTAAACTATTAGCTTGTTGCAGCCGCTATGATACAACGATTACTAATATGATTTACTGTGCAGACGTATCGATACGTTACACCTTCTCTTGCTGAATTGGGTGCTCGTGGAAGTTTGCCTAAAATGAACCAGCATGTTTTAATGCTGACGCGTGTACCCGATGCTGGAGCTGAATTGTTAGTCTTGATCCTACAACGTCTGCAGGGTTACAATGCGTTTAAACATATACGATTACCACCTGGTGATCATGGGCTTCTATCAACTCTGCAAGAGGTATAATCTCGTACACGACGTTCATAAGATAGTTTTTGAATTACCGTTCTCGATATTAATGCTCGTCCAATAACGCGAAATAATGGTAGTACTATTTCAAATGGCAACTGCATAGATCGAATGCCGAACAATAACGTAAGAAATATGAATCAGCTGCTGATTCATTGGCCGCATAAATCTTGGGAAAATTTAATCATAGTACCATGTAGTGGTTGTTGCACTTTACGCTCATGTCAGAGTCGGTTTTCAGTGTTGCAATCGAAGTTGTGCCACTTTCATCTTTCCAATTAAAGTAGCCGTGTCGGAAATACCTATTTGGAGCAAGTCTAGCTAAAGCCAGATAGAGGTGGCGCGACTGCGCGAAATACGATAGGAAAGTTGATAAATGTTAAAAGATTCGATGTATTTTCAGTATGGTAAATAATCATCGTGACATTTTTAGTTTGCAGTTTTAGACTTAGATACAGGAGAAGCCGGTTGTTCAGCGTTTCTCAGTTTATAAATGACTTTGGTTAACTATTTTGTAGGAACTGTTAGTAGAAGAAATTACTAGTATCATTAGACAGGAAGCGATTCCTTTGAGTTTCGACGGAGATGTTAGATTTCTGAACTTCTCCAAGTTCGGAAGAGAGTCTCCGACGTTTATTTCCCTAGTGAGAAATCCTATGTGTGCGCATAATTTGCGGAGGTAAAAATCAAATTTCTTTTCGGTAGAATTTTTCGTTTTATTTGTATTTTGTTAATTGTTACTGGCATATTATGGATGTAAATAAGCTAATGTGCTTGGTGCACAACTATTAATTATACTTAAAGATGCATTTGTTACTTTTCAGATATCGTGAAAGGCGAAGTGACATGCTTCATAGAGCCATACCTACGTTCTGCGGTCAAGATCCTCGATGCGCGTGAGTATTTAATGTATTACATTTTTGTAGCACATGGTAACTTTTTTATTTCCCTGCATTGCGTATCAATCGTAGAAAGATAAATAACAAATGGGCGTTAGAACGAGCAAAGGCAAATATCGTTGAATGGTACCCTGTTGTCTGTATATTAAATTACATGGAACAATCCATAGATGTACTGGAGTACAAATTTCCATATTTCTTTCGAGGTGCTAAACGTAGTTACAGAAAGATTCGTAAGTAATTATAATTAAGTATAATTAGGCGGTAAGATTTCAGATTCAATCTAGTTTCGATTCGTTTCATTTAGAGCCGAGAAAAAGACATTTTTCTGATCCAACACTTACGCTAAGAGCTCGAGAAAGAGATATTTTATTTAAGCTTCTTCAGGATGAGATAGAATTTTATCAATGGTTAAAATATCGACTTTTGAACGAAACATTGATCGACATTGATTAAAGCCATGAAATTTACACGATGATAAGTGTTTAGTTTCAAAATATACCAAAGATATTAAATATTCCAATAATAATGATTTTATAGAGAAATAAATTTGATTAAAAATTTTTTTAGGAAGAAAGGTATGATCACGGATTTTTCCCTTTTGTATTTTTACTATGGTATAATGTATTGTTATTTTAATATGGTATAGATGCATTGTACTGTTTAAATTGTGCAGAGCGCAACAAAATACTTGATTTTTTTCAGGATTTTAGTTCCTGTAAAATTAGAATACTGCACAGGAACGATATGCATCTCATTTGCTTAGAATCGACTCCTCTTGCTTAGTGAAAATTCCTAGAAAATATAGGATATACAGAAGAAACTACTTTTCAATCTTCATAGTTTATAATTTATTAATTTTTACATTTTTATTATAAATTTATTGTAACGGTAGCAATAATTTATACGTTTTCCATGTCAGCGTTACACTTATGTTTCTATAATAGCTGTTTTCAACGTGTAAACTACGTTAAAGTATCCTCGTTGTCTTTCGATGCATTGGTAGAAATTTTCTCTCTGATAATACTCATAGGGTAGACAACAATCGAAACTTTTATTGAGCAGTGATCATCGATTGGGAATAATCACAGCACGTACAAAAATTGTGTCATGTGAGGTTCCAAATACGTAATTTTTGTTACTGTAATATACATTAATCTATAATAATTTGTTTAAACTTGATATTAATTACATTTATTAGCATATAATTGAAAGTATAAGAATCTAAGCCTTTTTTCCCCTTTAGGCATGATATAAAGAGGATATTTCGTTGATATTCAGTTCGTACGACGCAAAATCCGATAAAATACCTATATTATAGCTGGATTAGATAGTTATATTTATAATCGTAATATTTTAAATGTACAAAGCAAGCTTCAAACACGGTTTTACTATTCTCGAGGGAGAAGGTATTAGATAATTATCTTTTAAAGAAATATATTTAGAATAAATATGGAAATATACAAAGAAACATTAGAAAACGTACAATGATCGTTTTGTGGTTTACTGGTTGTTCCGAGTGGTAAAAAGCAGCGTATTATATCATCAAGCTCTTATCATCTATTTACATTTGTTGTTGTTTAAAAATGCAAGTTACCGTCATTATGATCTTGTATAAAATAAAAGAAAAAGCATTGAATTGACAAATTACGTTGATCGTATAAGCATAGGATATTTTATCTTTATAGCGTAATAGAACATATAAAAATATCTATTTGAGTACAATTCGAAATCTTGCTATAAAAACGTTACTATCGATACCAACTATGATATTATACGATCTTAAATTGAAGGAAAAATGAAATTAAGGAGTATCAGAAAGCGATTTTGATCGTTTCATGCGCAAATCGCGCGTGCAACAAAACATGGCGATCATGTTGATGTACAGATGAACGAGCAACAACATGAGTAAAACGTGCCATCACTTTTTCTTTGCATCTTTTAATCCAGCACCAGCGTTAAACTTGAAGAAAACGATGTCTCCGTCTTCGACGACGTAGTTTCGTCCTTGTTGCCTATATTTTCCGGCGGCCTATAGTAAAAAGAAAAAAAGAAGATTAATATAGCCACATTTACATAGAACAACTGGAAAATAAAAACAATGAAAAGCATTCGATTGGTGTTAAATATCACACAGTACGATACTCACCTTTACCGCTGCTTCCGATCCTTCGTTTTTAAAATCGTCGAATTTCATGACTTCAGCCATGATGAATCCCTTCTCGAAATCTGTGTGAATCTTGCCAGCAGCTTGAGGTGCTTTTGTACCTTTCTAAAGTAACGAAAGATTCACGGATAAGATCATGAAAAAACATTGAAAAGGATCACTTTGATTTACCTGGATCGTCCATGCTTTCACTTCATCGTGTCCCGCTGTAAAGAAGTACTGCAATTGCAACGCTTTGTATCCTTGAACGATAATCTTGTCAAGCGCGCTAAAAACGATTCGTAAGATGAAACAGCAAATTTTCAACTCGTATTAGAAAAAAGAAGACGAGGGGGGGGGGAGCAGAAAAAAATGAATTCTTGGTTCAAAGAAGGGGTGGCCAAAAAACAGGACTGTGGAATATGATTGTCTCGAACCGAATATCGTCTAATGACAGGGTACAAGAAGGGAAGCCATCCTGTTCCGTGAGCCCGACGAACTTCGAGACTTCAGAGAATACACATAAAGCTGAACGACTTAATACCGCAATTTTATCACTCTAACTCTGTCCGAGATCTACTTCGGCGCCTTGGTTATCTGCGGTCTCGAAATAAAATCGCGGTATCTAGAAATCTTTCGTTTGTCCCCTGTGATTACCAAGAGAACCTACCTTATGCGATCATTTCGAGGGATCGACAAAATTTGCCGAAGAATTTAGATTTCTAACCATCAATGCCAGATTATAGGTATCATTGGTAACGATTTTATATCTTCCACGCTAGCTATAATTATGCAATCCCCTTCGGTCCAAAATAATTGCAACATAAATTTATATAACGAACAAAGTTTTTCTTTATCCAACGCATTATAGTTCTGTACGTCGATTACTTTTATCGGTATAACATACAGTACGTTACAGTATAACAATGTTGAAAACGTACGCGAACTTGATCGAGTTTACCGTGCATAACACGGGTTGAGTTTGTTCGCGAATGACCCACTAGCCAACTGAACCGGTTGATCCTCATTCCACTCGTCTCCCTGGTTATACCGGTGTGCCCGGGAGGATAGGAGGGGTTTTTATGCAATTTTGCAAGAATTTGAATAGCCGTTCGTAAAAATATAATGCGCCACAGTAAAGATGCCGCAGTTTTTATTGGTCACCCTACATGAAAGTAGGGCTAGTCTAGACGCTTAAACCGAGCCCTCCATTGTTATTACCATTAGTAGATAACCTGGTGCATAGCTAAATATGGGAACCTGGCTTTCTTAGGTTTTAAAGCAGGGGAGGATTAGGTTTTACGAATTTTACGATTTTTACGTTCGTCCTTCTCCCTTCCTTTCACTCACTCTCTCTCTCTCTTTTTTTCTTTTCTTTTAAATTCACGCAACACACTGCTTATTTTGGCGGTCGTTTCATTTGCAAGTATAAAGATAGTTTGGCGTTCATTTAAAAGATACAGATAGAGCTATGTAACGAATTATAGACACCGTTACTCACCTCGTAACTTTGTTCTCTTCTTGATATTTCGCACGTTCTGCGTCATCCATATCGAAAAGTTTATTTTCGAAAGTTCCACTGAATGGGATTAAAATAGCTCCTGGATCGTTCTTATCAACCCATTCTTTGATTTTGATTAACCTGAAATTGACACGTGAGTATTAAGACATAAGAAAAATTCGTATGTTAATTAATATATTAATGATCGATTGTCGTTTGTTTAAAGCGTCAAATAACGATAATATACATATAGACCCCAGATAATAAACGATATATACATACCATTTATTCTTCTTACGTATGTAATCCTTTTCGGACAGATTAACTAAATAAATGACTGGCTTTGACGTGAGGAATAAATATTTATTGAGAGCCTCGATCTAAAAACACGACCGACCAGAATAACATTGGAATAGCATTAAAATTTTTCATTTGCAAAGCGATACGATTAACTTACGTCAGTAGCACTCCAGTCGGCAAACCTGATATGCCTCTTTTCATCCACCATTATACCTTTCACTTTCAATAACGTATCCTGCACAGAAAAGCACTCGATTATATCTGTAAGCGTTAGCTTTCTCCAACAGATTGTATTTTTTACCACTACCGTGCGAAAATACTGGATTCGAAAAAGATCAGTGTTCCGCTAACGATAATAGTCGGCCAGACGAATAAGTTCGTAAGTAAGTACGCTACCAAGTGGAATAATCCCGAGATCGAACTGTGATTAGAGGATTGTACACTAACGAAACGCCTCTCTATTACTTTGACCGAGAGAGAAGACGAGGAGGTAGCTTGAAACTCTCGAAAAGTTTTAGCAAATTGCAAAGTCTAGAACGAGGGGAGAGATCGGAAATTGCCGTGGGTCAATCCACGGAAAGAGGGTAATTCGATTGATTCGTTCTAGGAAGTAGTGTACCGACCGCGCTCTCTTAATTTCCTCGGTAATTTCGTTCAGGCTCTACGATATGCCTACATTTACAATGATTTCTTTCGTTTCTCAATCCGAACGTCAAAAGAGAACGAGTTTCTTTAAACGTCCTAATGTATTTCTTTCGATGTGCAGGGTTAACGACGTTAAAACGCATCAAATCTTCAAACATAAATTACTACTTACGTATTCAGGCTTTAGTTTCTTGTCGTTTCCTCGGACAACGAGCTTCTCCAGCTTCTCCAGATGACCATTTAAAAACTCGATATCTTTCAACCGTAATTCCTCGCTAATTATCTCGAGATCTCTCACGGGATTCACGTCTCCTTCCACGTGAGTAACGTCGTCGTCGTCGAACGCTCCTACGAATAAGATACGATATTAATCCGCTTAGTTTGGCAAATTTATTTTCTAGAATCGATGCAGTTCTATGAAAACTGTTAACGAAAGCTATAACGGTATAGTACTCTTACGTCTATAAGCTACTCGTGCGTGTTGCAAGATAAACTCGTGTCCATGATTGCATGTGCAATGCACGGAAGGAGCAAACACGATGATAAACTAATCTCTCGATCTCATCGGCAACGCTACCTTCCCTTTAACGTAATCGATTTTATCAGTTATTGTTCATCTGGGACAGCAACGTCGTCGCTTGCTCCTATATAAAGAGCTTCGTATCGAATCGAATGTTTATGCTGGACTTACGGCAAAGATGAAAAATCCCATCGCAAGCGTTGATGTGCGATAAGAAATTGTTTCCCAGGCCTTGTCCTTCCGCGGCACCTTTGACCAAGCCAGCGATGTCCACGACATTTAAGAAAGCTGGAACTTTGCTGAAACCGTAAATAAGGACGCGTCTCATCGCGATTCTCGATTCGTTCAAGAAGCAAAAGTCGCGAGCTCTGTTGCTCTTAAGAGTTCGAACTTCGGAGGGTGGTTTCAGCCTTCGAACCTGAGTCACCGCGGCTAAAAGATATACATATATATATATATATAGATATATCTACTATATTCGGCTGTTCCTCCTTCCTACAAAGTTTCATCCAAATCGAAGCCGGGAGCATTCGCGACTTTTTCTTGTAAGTACGAATAGAATACGACTGATGATGTATTTACACTGTAACATGCACGCGCCTAGAATTTAAAGGAGGGCGTCGCAGTGACAACGAGCTGTATTTAAATGCTAATGCAAGTAGCATCATTAAACAATTAGCCTTTGAAGAGAGGCGTTAGTAAAATGAGCAAGAAGGGGAGTGCCATGTTAGGTGGCTTTCATTAGGGATCGTTGAATCATCTGACACGTGACAGCCATTCGGACTTTGCAGTGTCGTTGGCCGTTGGCGACAGTGTTTCGGAGTTGGGTGCCAGGGTGACCAGGATGCAAGACACGCTCTTTGATCTAACACGGTAGCGAGTTTTAATCTCTTCAAATTAGTTGAATTCCGAGGAAAGCACGTGTCGCAAAGCAAACTCGATTCGTCTTTCACTCGATAATTTTTCGTTACTTCGCTATACTTTGAAGTTCATCGATTCTATGCCGCTCCCTCTCTCTCTCTCTCTCTCTCTCTTTCTCTTTTGCGCTCTGCCATGGTTAAGTTTAACTGTTTACCAGCGACAACAGCGTCGAAGAATATTTTACCGTGGACCGAACATACGCTTTGCTTTCCAATCTTCCTGCTGCTCTGTACATTCAATCTCGTCGTGTGAACGAGCCAGCGTGATAACGCGAGGCACGGTAAACACGGCTTTCATCGACAAGTTGATGCATACCACAGCACGTATAGCGGTTTCCATGTGTTTCGGTGGAACTTTCATCGCGTTTGATTAGTTTCGAGTGTCACGTGAAATTTTAATTAATCTTTTCTAGCCTCCCCCCGGAGGGCATACATTGATCTTTCTAACGCAAAATAATCCAGTCAATATCGCATATAAATCTAAGTTTTAGAAATATCTTACGAAATGTTATCTTAAATAATAGTATGCCACGAGCGAGTAAAAGAAAAACGTACGTGAAGTCGGCTGGTATTCAACGTGAGTTATACGTCGCGTAGACGAATTTTGTCGAATCTGCATTGCAGATCACGTACCGCTTTCTCTCCTCCCTATCCCTGCCTTGTGAAAATAAAAGCAAAGGAGTATGGAAATGTCAATGGTTATTCCAACTCGTTTCCCATTGCGAGAGCACATTTTCTGGTAGACTCGTCACTTTTGTTCGATAATACAATAACGCGTATCAGTTATTTGTCGTTACGATCGAACAATATTTTCACCGGTATGTAGTAGCTGGTTTGATACGTACCTAGCTGGCTTAAAATATTCGCACAGGTAATCGAATCTTGCGTCAGGAACGGGTACGCGACGTGCTGAAAGATAAAATCTAGTTAGACGACAAATACGGCCAATTTTTCTTAATAAATAACACGCGTCATATATTCACATGGGGAATAAAAAAATAATAGGATATTGGAAAAAGAAATTCTAGTCAGACAGTAGATTATGTATACGTTGTTTATTGTCTATTTACAAAGTGTTTATTACACTGAGATATAAAGTTTTATAATAACATTTAGACACGATTAAAGTACAAAATATCTAATTTATTCGTCGTCGGGATTCGATAAAATCTGTAATAGAAAATAATAGGACAAATTATCTATTCACAATGTGTTTGTTATTATTGTCGATTTTTTATCGTCGGGATCGGCTAAAATTTGTGTCGGTGATGTTCGACGAAACGTAATTGAAGTAGACTTAGGTACATATATGCGAGATAACATAGACGATTGTCGAGTGTATCTGTGAGTAGGATTAGCCCGATCTTTATATACAGGTGCATGTATGAAAGGGTTTATCCTTTTCTTCATCGTTCGGGTCGCTACTTTGATGATCATTTCACGACTGTACATTCTTCTGCTAATTGTTTTGTACAACTCAGTTTCTTTTAAGCCGCAACATGTGTTACGAGCCTTTAAGTATACACCGATGTAAACGGCGGCGGTAGCCGAAGGCGATAAACCTGGTAATTTCGGCCGATCTACGCTGATTTCGTTTACAGCTTTGATTATTAACTTGGAAACCGTTTGTTCCAAGAAACCAACATTTGGCAGAGATTTTACGTCGATCGTTGGCATCGTATATAAAAATTTCATTTGAACGTTCGCGTATTTATCGGGTTGCGCTAAAAATTTATCGCGACAATCTTCCGTACAGAACAGGTATAAATTGTCTTTGTACAAAACTGCTGTAACTATTTTTCCAGGTACAAGTTTTCGACTTGGTAATCCATCGAAGTACGTTACTAAGCAAAATCCTCTGACTTGCAAACGTTTGGCCCAACACGAATGTTCCAAGTCGATCGTTTCGGTTAAAATTCGCGGACGATCTTCCGGTGGATACGCATTGTTCGCCGGTGGAAGATATTTGTGCGGGTGTTGAATAAATTCATTGATATGTTGCGAACAAATCCAGTAGAAGTGTTCCCTAAACTGAATCGTGCCTCGATGATCCGGAGGTCCCGATGTCTTCATCGTGTTCTCGTAGTACAAGCAAAGAGGACAATAGGACTCGAACCGGCTTTGTCGTCTCCTAAATTCGTACGGCGAGACGCTCATATATTTCAAGCTGTGAATTTTATCGTAGTCACTTTCACGAAAGTAGGATCTGATGATCGTGTATCTGGAACATACGCGTCGATCAGCTTGGCTCCACACATACCACATACATTTAGTCGCGTCTAATTCTATTACGTTCTGGGTGAAACTTTTTAACCAAGTTCGAAAGTGTCCCTGATCGACTTCCCAAACGGCATAGCGATGAGATAAAAAGCTATTCGAGAAGGTAGGTGGTTTTATCGTTCGATCGTCGGATGCGCGAGACAAACGGTCGAGACAAAAAGCTAGATTCGCTTTCAGGTCGAGAGTGATCATTGGTTGAAGACCTAGAAACGTCAGTTGCTCGTATTCTTTGCGGTTTAAGGGAAAACCATCGAGCACGAAACCTTGAGAAATCACATTAGGATCGATGGAATACATTTCAACGGCACGGTTTACGCATTCCGTTGGAACCGTTCGACCTGCACGAAGAGAAGATTCCGTCAATTGCGCCCACTCTGTCCAAGGAAAATATTTGACGATGTAACGTAGAGCGGCTCCTCGCGTTATCACTTTTACGCCATATTTGTTGGCAAATCGTTGTGCAAGAGTCGTTTTCCCGGATTTCGGTGGGCCAATGATAGAGAGCCGGAATGGAATAATAGGTGCGCAAGAATCTCGTTCGAGATACTCGAACGGACTCTCTAAAAATGCGGTCTGCGCGTCTTTGCCGCCGAAGAAGTAGACGAATTGTCTGTGTATGACGGGATAAATCTCCTGCACAGATTCCAGTGGCAGGAACATTTGCAGAGGAACGTTATTTTGACGCAACTGCACAGGACACCAGCGTCCAAAGGAACTTAAAAGATAATAGCCGCAATCAAGCAGAGTGTCGGCTGTTTCAAGATCGATGGTATAGATCTTCTCCAGGATAGAAATATCTCGACGAACGTAGGGCTCGAGAATTCTCATAATTCGCAGTAAAACGTTTTTTACATCTGCTTCGGCATCCACTACGATATACGGTATCGATTCATTTTCTAGAAGGCTGCGAATAGCAGCTATCTTTTGAGAATCAGTTTCGTACTTGCTGAAAAATTCTTGCTCGATTCTTCGTCTCGCTGTTTCAAAATCTTCCCAGTCGGTGAATAGCACAGGCTCAGGATTCTCTCGATACCACGTTTCTTCTAACTCAAACCTTCTCACTTCCATTTCTTCCAAATCCGTGTCATCGCTCAGCATGTATTCCTCCATGAGTATGTCGTCTTCGTCCTTGTATTCGTGCTCCGCGTTATCTTCTTCTTCCCCGATATATCGTTGACCGATCATCTCATGCAGCATTCTTTTCACCCAAATATCTCGATCTCTTCGATAATCTTCAAGCTGTGTAGCGTATCGTAATTGTTCGATGCGTTTCTTCTCTTCCAAATTCTGTTCCCACGATGCGAGTAATTTCGGCATTACTCTGTCCGATACCGTCTCTCTACCGCAACGAAGTTCTATTATTATCTCGGGCACCGTGTACTCTCTTATAGCAGTTTCTACGTCTTGCGGACAGCTTGGAAACTGATCGAACACGGCACCGGGTTCGCTGTAAAGTCCTTTGAAAAATCGCGTTAAACATTCGTCGTGCATTCTTTCAGGAAGAAGCACACTGCCGTCTCTCCAATAACTTCGAATAAATGTCAGAATTGTATTAGAGTCGCTGTTGTATCTCTCGTCGCTCAGATCTGCTGGCAATTCTACCTCATCGGGAAGTTCGTTTGATAAAACAAGAACATCTCTGTGGGATAATGGTCGCATTCCACGGGATCCCATGTACGTAGTGAAACAATTAAAGTAATCTATATGAAGCAGACCGTATTCTCGAGATATCGCGTCTGACAACGTGCTTTTCCCACTTCCTGATGGACCAACGATACTCATACGAAGGGGTGGAATTAAAGATAAAGGCCTTTTCAATGGAAGACCTAATTTTTGCGGGCCACGTAAAAATTCCTCGAGAGCTGTGAGACTAGATAGATGATATATCTTATCCATAAAAATAGCGCTGAACTCTTCTTTGCCTCTCCAAAATATATTATATCTTAATAACGCCACTGGACAGTAGTAATTAGTGTCTCCAAAGCGACGATTATCTTCCTTAGAAGGTAATTCCGCCGTTTCTCTTTCACCTTCCTTTTCTTCTTCTTCTTCTTCCTCGATATTTTCCGTGTCATCGGTCATGCCGATATATTCTGCAAGATCTCTTTCTCTTTCCTTCTCCTCGTCAGTCATAACTCTTGCCTTATCCATATAACGATCCTTAATTCGATCCATAACGTATTTCGAGATATCGGTGATTTTACCAACATCGCAGGTAATAAGATTTCTGCAAGTATCCATCGCTCTTTCTCTTATCGCTTCCCAATCCGATTCAAACCTCTGAATGTGTCTAATATATTCGACCAGACCTTGCGCCTCTTCCTCGCCCTCTTCATCTCCAAGGTCTTCGAAGCTTTCCTCGAATTGCCCATCCTTTTCGATGCCACGAATTTTGCGCCATTTTGATATCAAATAATCGTAAGGATCATCGTCGAACAAAAGAATCGCATCCTCGAAGATAATCTCCGAATCTTCCACGATTGTTTTCCAAGAATCGATATTGGGATACATACCATCTACGATGTAACCTCCGTCTCTCCATATTTCAATATCGATTTCTTCTCTCGGCACGCTCTGTATAGCTTCCACAATCGCATGATCCGACGAATAAATATACGAGTTAACGTTCGCCGAATATTTTCCAATTTCCTTCGCGTTTATTATCGTACCTCTTAACACTCGTGCCAATTCGTCGCAGAGATCAGATTTGCCAGAATAGTCAGGTCCAAATACTACGATTTTACAAGTCGGTCGCGGAGACAAAGGAGAAATAAAAGTTCTTGGATTTTCGATAAATAAATCAGCAGCCTCGTTCGACGAAAGAAAGAAGACTTTGTTCATAAATCGAACGGTGTGTTTCGCTAATCCTTCCACGGTCCTTCCCTTTGTTAATTCGACGGGACAAAGAAAATTCCAGGACGACAGTCTCCAAGGGAATAGAGGCGAAACGGTTTCTCTGTTTCTCAGATCTTGAAACGCTTCTTCGTTCGACTTATCTTCGAATTCGTCGCCAGTTACGGGTATCATTGGCGATTCACCCTCGAATTCTAACGCAGCGTGATTCGCGAATCTTCGCGGAAGAATTACACGCGGCACTGGCAATGTGCGTAGCCGTGAGATAAAAATTTGAAACATTAGCGATACAGGTGTACGACCATCCACGCGAATTATGTTCTGTGGGTTGTATAGCAAGATCCATTTCTCGATCGTAGGCAGTGCCACGCGTTTGTACATTGCACATTGCGATTCCACGTTGGATCTTTCGTCAGAAGGTCGTTTCAGTAAGTATTTCCCCTGGTTCTCGTCTAAAACTCGTTCTTCCTTCGTCAACTCTTGATACAATTCAAAGGAAACGTTCATGTTATTCTGCATTTTGTTATGAGAAAATAACATCTCAATATGTCTGCTCATACCAGCGAAACTCGTGTCTACGGTGCGACCAGTTGTCGGATCTATACGAAAATGTGCACGCTTTATCGTCGCATCCGCGTCAGGACACATTACGTAAACGATTATCGATGGTTTTATGGGCCACGTTGCGAAAATATCTTCGATCTGACTTGAAATAAAATCTTCGTAACGTGGATTTTCCAGTACGACACATGCTTGATTCTCTACCTTTTGATCGCGAGAAGTCGAAATATCTTTGCTATTATCCGACACATCGTGATGTTTGATCGCTTCTTCGTTCGCTGTATCGCAGGTTCTAGGAACCGACGTGTTAAAAATCTTCATAAAGTTCTCGTCATTTTCTGGATCCAGCTTCTCGGTGGAAATATTTGGGTAAGAAGAATAATCGAGTGTCTCGTTTGGAATTAACGGCAATCCTTCTACAACGTACCCTTTGTGAAACACGTCCCTTTTATTAAGACGACTCGCTATCAAATTCATGATAATTTCTGGACCTAAACATTCACCTGTTTTCAACACGTCTGCCATGAATTTACCTTTTTCGCTGTTTTGCTGGATCTCCTGTTGCATAAGCGATAACGGAGAAATCAACACGCAATTCCAAGAGTCCGCGATCATAGTCGCAAGTTTCGTAGTGTTCAAGTCAGGTTTGCCCAGAACGACGAAACAAGTTGGTTCGCTTGCCAGATATTTGTTTCTCGCTTCGGTTTCGTCATAGGGATCGCGAATCTCGTGAGGTTCCTGAGAGGGTTCAAAGTGTGCTCGGACGTTTCCATACTCTCTCGACTCGCATTTGGCGGGAAATCTAGTAAATGGATTTGTATCTTCGTGGAAGACGTAATAAGAGTTAGCTTTTGGATACACACATTGATGAGCTTCGGGCCAGGAAGGAGAATACTTCTGGCGAGGATATCCTTTGATGAATCGGAAGAAACTCTTTTTTATAATAAACGATGCATCTGCGTAAAACTTCTCGTGCTCGTCTTCGTGCTCTTCTTTTATCTTGGGACGCGATGTTTTATCACACATCGTTGGATATATCTCATTTTTAGGTTACTATATAAATCTTTTACACAGAGTTGCAAACAAACGACATGCGATTTAATATCAGGTTAAATATTTGCAGTGGCAGACGCGAAGTACGATTAACGTTATTAGGTCGGAGCATCTAAAAAATGTTGCTTTGTATAGTAAAAATTGAATGAAATTTCAATTCGATTATATCATGTGCTGTAGAAAATATTTTCTATGACGTACAACACGATATCGCTATTATGATTATTAGACTGCGAATGTATATGCAAACATAGATGAAATTTAAAGGTAAAGTTAATATAATATAGAAGTATACAGAAAGTTTCCAAAGCGAAGTGCTCGTCGTAACTTTTAGTAAGCGAAACGAGTCTCCAGCCAAGTTCCATTTCTTTACTTTCTTTTTGTTCTTTACTCGCAGAAATACAAATTTGCACAGAAGTCCGCAGTCTATAATAAACATGCGTAAGAAAAAAATATGAATACTTATTTTCATTGGGATCGATGGTGCAGAAGGGAAAGTTCTCAGCAGCAGCCTGGCTTTTCGTGAGAACGTTGAAGAAGGTTGATTTTCCTACGTTAGGTATGCCTACTATACCAACTTTCAAATTGGTACCTACGCGGCCAATAAGCGGCTTC